CCCCCTCTCTCATTCTCCTTTCCCCCATTCTCTCTCTCAAATTCTTCTCACTCCCTTTCCCTCTCTCAGATTCCCACATCTCCACTTCCCTCTCTCAAACCCTAAATCCCTTTCCCCCTCTCCCTTTCTCTCCACCTTTTATTCTATCACCAAACCAAGAGCCCCATTCCTTTAACAAATTGAGAAGATTAAGGCAACAAGGAGGGAAAGCACAAACAAACAAACATCATAAAACCAAGGAAGGTATAATTTCACTTAGTTTTTCATTTCACAAAAATCATTGCATGATATAGAATATAAGGAAGTATGTTGTTTTCTTCCAGTTTTCTTTCTAAACCAAACCAAACCTATGAGTGATTTCAGCTAAGCCATGTGGGTTAGGAGTTGGATTGATTTTGTTTAGGCTAGTGTTGGGTTTTAAGGTTAGCTAGGGTATGGATGGTTGAGTGTGTGGTTTAAGGTTGCCTACGGTTTGAATGGGTGAGGGTTGAGAGGATGTGGTGAGGCCTTAGAGTTTCTAGTTAAAGGTGGATAAGGAAGAAGAGATGGGTGAGGTTTTATGACATGATAGAGGAAATGAAAATTCATTCCTTTTTTTTTCAGTTCCTCTATCATGGCATAAAACTTCTCCCATCTCTCCTTTCTTATCCACCTTTAACTTGAAACTCCAAGGCCTCACCACATCCTCTCAACCCTCACCCATTCAAACCATAGGAAACCCTAAACCACACATTCAACGATCCAAACCCTAGCTAACCTAAAAACCCAACACTACCCTATACGAAATCTATCCAACCCCTAACCCACGTGGCTTACCTGAAATCACTCACACTTCCTCACACTCTAACCCACCTAAACATCACACTACACACTCCAAACCCAGACCCGTGAACAATCACTCCCCTCTCCACCACATCTATCTAAGACTTACCAAGCATACACTAACCTAACCACTAATCTACTTAACCCATTAACCGACACACTAACCCACATAAATTGAGCATCAACAAGGCAAAAGCACTCAAACATATAGAGATTTAAATAAATCCCAAGGATAAGTTCTATTACCCATACCAAAATTGATGGTAAATATAGCCTCTTCTCATGTAAGTTTCTCGTTCATGAGTGAGTCATTGGGTTATAATTAGATTAAGATGACAAAAAAAATATACTATATTCAAAACTTTATAAGAATCTATTATTATAATAACATATTTTTTAGTCTTAAAAATACTGGCGCTACCTATCAACAAATCATGATTGAGATTTTTAACACTCATACATAATAAAAAGAGATGTTATATCGATGATCTAATCATTAAAAGCAAAGAAAATGAGGATCAGTTATATGATATAGGAATTTTCTTTGAATAGCTACATTTGTACAACCATAAGATGAACTTTCTAAAATGTGACTTAAGGGTAACTTCAAAAAATTTTCTAGGGTTTGTTGTGAGGCAACATGAGATCAAATTGGATCCAAAAAAGATTAAAGTGATATTAGAAATGACATCATCTAAAGTTTAATTTAAATGAGATCATTCTAAAGAAGGTTGGCATACTTGAAGTGTTTCATTCAAACATTTCTGGTTATCAATCAATTGTTTTCTTAATAAAAAAAAGACTAAATTTCATTGGGATGACAAACATCAATATGCATTTTAAATTGTAAAACATTATTTAAAGACACATCTAGGATTAACAAACCCAATTTTGCGTAGACCTTTAATCCTTTACAATGCGGCATTAGATGAATCTTTAGGCACCTTATTAGCTTGAGTTAATGAGAAAGGAAAAGAGAATACCCCAGGGCTAATACTTAGATGAGCTTTTCAAAATACCATTGCCAAAATTTTCAAAAAGAAACATGAGTAGAATTAATACCGGCATGGGCAGTTGGTTGAAACCTTGGGTGCTTACCGAACCACATATAGGAACCCAACTCAATCCACTCCATATGCCTTAATTTATGTGTCAAGATTATTCTTATCTTAAAAATATAGCTTCTCTCACTAATGATTGCCATTGGCAATTAAATTTCGTCTAAAAAAAATGCCCAACTTTGATTAGAAGAACTTGAAGGTCTTAAAGAGAAATGTTTACTAGCTCAACAAAATCTTAAGTTACACAAGGCATGAATGGCGCTCACAATATGTTAGTCCGCCAAAAGAATTTCCAAGACTGTCATAGTTCTTAGGAAACCAACCTTAGCCCATTATAAAATATGTGGCATGTGTAAAAGAGAAAATCTATGAGGATGAATCTTATTAGAAATATATAATGCTAACTTCAATATTTTTAGAATGTCAATTACTTCAGATGCTAAAGAGAATTGAAGTTCGGCTCGTAAATTCATTTCATAAATTGAAATGAAATCTGGTGGAGAACAAGCTCAATCAAATCTACCAGGTTACTTTAGCTAACAACTCATTTGGAAAAAGAATTTTTAAAAAAATATATTATTAAAACATCAACAGTGAATTGAAACTTTAGCTAACAACTCATTTGGAAAAAGAATTTTTTTTAAGAAAATATATAATTAAAACATCAACAGTGAATTGAGGATGTTACATCATCAGCTTTGACCAATCCGAACAACCTTCTAAGATTATTATCTTAGGGAAAATTTGATTAGGCTTCTTTTGATATAAGAACTTGAGGAGGAGGTCACCAAGTTTTTGGCACTCTTCTTCATTCAGAATCTAAAATAACAGAAAACAAATAAGGTTATGGAACAACAAAGAACACAAAAAGAAAAATAATATGAAATACACAAAAAAGAATATCAAGAAGATTGCTTGCTTAGTTTTTTAGGAGACTCTTAATATAAGAGATGAAGTGTAGAGGTCATGACCAGCAACTAGTTCAAGACTTATTTAAAAATAGCTATTTTGGGAAAAATCATAAAAGGTTATATGAAAGTTCTACACAATTCGTGGAATGTGTACAAAGCTTTTGAACTCATTGATAATTTATCTAAATTATGAGAAAATCTCTCAAAGATGTCAATCAGAAAATTAACGGATTCAAAAAATAATAGTTCTTCAATGTTTTATCCTACCAAAAGATAATCTTTTTTTATGAAAAATACTCATGAACATAGGAAGAAATGCTATCCATTCGATCACATAAGTTTATGGAAGATGGAAATACCATAATTTCAGCACCAAAACACTCAAAAATCAAACAAATGGAATCTTAAGATGAAATTCTTTTAAGATATTGATACACATATTAGATTGTATAAAAAAAAGGTGGATGAAGGATATTGAGAATACACATGGAAACAAGCAAAAAAAAACTACAAAATTAAAATAAAAAAAAAGTTTTCCAATAAAATTACTAGAATGACGAATATTCTTTTATGTTTCAACATCACACGGCAAAAGAAATACCCATAGTAGAAAAGCTGATGTAGCTTTGCCAAGAGAAAATTACATATAAAGAGAGATTTTTGGTGTTACATGCAGAAACAAGCAACAAAAACCCCCAAAAAATTAATATATATATATATATTTCCGAAGAAAATCACCAGCAAGAGGAATCTCTTTGAAATTTCAGCATCACAATGCCAAAGAAAATCAGCCATAGTTGAAAATTGGAGCTTTGCCAAGAGAATAATATATACAAAGTGAGATTTTAAAATCATGATATGACTCTCAATTTCGCTTTTGAAGTAGAACATGGCATTCTTCATAGAGACGGAACTAGAGTAAATGGGGGATTGGGAGATATGATATTTCTCTCACCCTTGAGAGATATTTATACATAAAAGAGAAAAGAAAGTTACAAATCTTATTAATGGTATTTCTAAGATTTTGGACATTTTTGCCAAAATTTTGACAATTTTAATATATTAGATATAAAAATAATATTTTCTCTTGGAATTCTCACTAAAATATATGGCTGTTCAACTTAAGACTTTTATACATAACATTTTCTATTATAATTCATATAAAAATACACTGAGTTTTGGACGCTTTCTCTCTCATACATTATTAAGAAAAAGTGACTTACATCACCATTTAAAAAAAAAAGAAAATTACTATAACAGTAAATGAGTGCATGACTCTGCCTGCGGGCAGACCGCTTTCCTATGCTGGTCCGAAAACATCCACGTAGCAGTGCACAACTGCATGTGCCCTGCGCTCATGGGCGTGCATCTACTAGCACACCTACATGCAAATGTGTGTGTACCCGCCTATGCACTTGTACGCACTCACATGCTAACACCATCGGCGGCATCCCAGTAACCCTCAGGCCAAAAATGGCTATTCTCCCATTTTTCAACGCTCTTAACTCAATGGTGGCACATTTAGAACCCATTTGAGTATCTATAACTACGTACGTGTGATTCAACAATCCTTACACTGATTCACAAGCCGATTTAAGAATGAATGAATTCACAACCCCGAAGGAAGGTCCACGTTAATGTCCAAGGAGCGATCACGGCTTGTAATCTTTCTAATGTATTTATGCTTAAAATTTTTCAAAAACTCAATATATATTTTCGAACAATATAGGCTTTGATGCCCGCAAAATAGGAAGAGACCTATATGCCACCAAAAAACTCACTTAATCAAACACAAATACAATGCATTTTAGATGAAATAACTTTCATATTCATGTTCATGATCATTTGAGCATTTATTCAAACAATTTTTTAGTTAGATCGAACATCTTATGATCGAGACAAACCTAATGGTTCTAAAATCATTCTAATCTTAATCAAAATCAAGCACTTCAAAAATAATTAGAAACTTCAAAGCATTAATTAAATGTTCAATTGATCTCCAAATTTAGCATGTGTATAATCAAATCTAGCATCTCGGCGAGATAAATTCAACGATCTTAGTCTCATTCAATTTTTAGGTCATTAAGGTACTTAAATGTTGAATAAATAATCAATAATCAAATAAACCAACACAGACCAACAGATGGATCAGTTTGAAATTTTGGCTAAATTTATCAAAATGCCCTCTTAAAACTCTATAAATGAAACTCCATGCTCCACATGAAAAAAAAAGAGAAAATGAGAATGAAAATTTAAAGATTTAATAAGTTCTAGAACTCTGCCAGAAAAGCAACATCAACCAACAACTGCCACCAGCCAATTATCCACTGCTACCATCCTTGAAATGCCAACAGTCGATCGACGTCATCTTCGAACTACTTTGCAAGGTCATCATCATCTTTGCCAAACTATCGTCGCTTGGCTGCCACCACTGACAGACCATCATCATTTGGTTGCCAATGCCTCCAGCAGACAGATGCCACAAAGTCATGACTGCAGTTGTCAAATTGTCACTATTCGATGATTGCCACAATCACAAGCTACCGCCGCCAGTCTATCACCACCATTAACTACTAGTCATTGATATCTTTCTATCACTCGTCATTTCTACATAATTTTAAAAAAGCATTTTACTCTCGTAACACTGCATTTCATTATTCAAGAGACGGACAAAATTTTTATAATTCTTATCTTTATAATTAAATCATTTCAACTAGACTAGATCCCTTAATTCTTCTTTTATTGAATTTTTCACTAAATCTCTTATGTGACTCTTGTGTTTTTTATTTCATCTGTGTGCATATGAGATCTTTATGTGAGGCTAAAACAATAAAATACCGTACTCTCCTGCCACAATTTTTTTAGCACACAATAATATATATTAATATCCTAGGTTGGGCTAATGATGTCTTAGAAGATAGGATTTTTTATTTTTTGAATCATATTAAATAGAAGTTAGCAAGTCATTTTTAACTTGAATTGATATTAAATTAAACAAACCTATAACAAAATATTACTCAAAATCAAATCAAACTTGAGTTGCACAATGACCTACGTGAAATTTTTCCCCAGCCGAAGCTCCTAAAGAAAAAGGGACCACCTAAAACTGATATTCAACTTCAAATTATTCCTAATATATTCTGATGGTAATCATTACTTGGAAATTTCCCAACTTTTCTTTCAAAGCAAATAAAACCTTAACAAGTCTCACTTCAAGCTTTGAACATACCTGAAATAGACAATTGATGGTAAATCTGAATGTTTTTCTTCATTTATTCCGATGCTGCCAGCTAATATTTCTAATAGACATTTCTCAATAATATTTCTTGAGCATAATATGGCCATACTTAACATGCCCCGCAGGCAGCTAAGTTAACTCAACACAGCAGGCTTAAAGCTTGCAATGCCAGTGATTTGTCTTCCCGTTACCAAGCTATTGATGTTTTCAGCGCCTTCATAAGAGAATATTGGCTCTATATCACGGAAGCCCTAAAGGATAAATCATAGAAAAATTTTGAAATGCGGCATATCAAGAATGGTAGAAAACAGAAAAATAATATGATTCTATTGCATAATTATTTCCCTCTAGTGAAAATGAGTTTTTATTATAGAAAATGCACACACGAGGGCTGTGGGCTTTGTAATAAAGGAGTGCATCAATTGTTTAGACTAGTTTCTTTTTTGGATCCCTTTTTTTTTCCTTTTTGTTTTTCAAACTAAATTAATGGCTATGTTCTGAATTTAGATTTTTTGTTTTGGCTGACATTCATAACTTGTTGGGGGTTATTTGCAGCAGGATAGAGCTGGTGCTCCTCATGTGAAGGTTTCCCTTTTCTTTTTAAAATTTGCGCCTTCTTTTTCTTAATTTAAAAGATGTAATTTATTTATTTTTTTTAGTTATTTTGCATCCCACTGTAAGCACCTCTATAGCATGGGGCGCACTTAGATACTAGGTTGACACAATTTTCGTTAGATGATGTGCTAGGCTGGGATTTAGGGTGCTATGTAGTCTTTTTGATGTCTGACTATTGCTGTTTGTTGGATTGGTTGTCCTAGCTAGGTACTTTTCTTTTGCATTGTGCTTGTGGTGTGACTGCATGTTGCATATGTGTGATAGTATGTTAGGGCATTTTATCTGCAAGGAGCTATGTCTATTTTGCACACACAAAGGTACCGCTATGGGGGAGCATATGATGATTTCTGACTCATTTGCTTGCAATTGCAATTTAGCTCCCACACTTTTAAGACATAACTCATGATATATTATTTGCATGTGAGATTTCCCGCTGACACTTCTTTTCATGCAGGATTGATTATTTTTTTCTTTTTCCAATGTATTTTTAGAGTCTATGAGAGTCCTGCAGCATAAATAAGATACGGGCACGGGTTCCGAGACGTTTAGCGTTGGAACCACGTGAAGGAGACCAAGAGCAGATTCTCGTGTCCCGTATCTTAATTTTGAATTTTTATATTGATGTATAGAATTAGGACCGCGCATGTATATGCGGAGTCCGACCACTCTTTTTCTTTTCTGGGATATGTTGCCGACCCAACGACACCGTCTTTTATTATTTTAATTTGACTTGTTTTGTTTTTTTGTATCATATTGCATGTCTGCACTTGCATGTGTTTTCCTTGTTTCAATCTGTGGTTTATCTGGAATTTCACGATATAATCTAGGCTCATTAAGGACCATAAAATTGTAATTTTCTACAAAATCCTAAATAAAATATTCTAGATAATTAAATTTTAGATTAAAATATTCAAGATTCAAAAATTGTAACATTTACTTTCCTGCATATATTAATAGCCTCCACAATACTTAAGGGCGGTCCTAGATAATTGCATTCATATTTGTATGTCCCGAGCAGGAGTCCCTGTGCTTCTCCAATCTGATTGGCCCAGCAT